AATTTCATCCTTTTTGTTTTCTTTTTCCTTTAAACCCTCAAAATCAATAATCTGCATGAAAACATCAAAATACTTCCATTAAAGTGCAATATCATCAAAAATAGGTAGAAAATATGGTTCTAAAAATGCATATATTCTTGGTGTATCAAAATCGTCCAAACTTACATGTTACTTGTCCTCAAGCAACTCCTTGACTACATAACTCTTTCCTTGAATTAAGAAAGATAAATTACAAAAAATAACAATTATTCATACATAGTAGTACTTTGATTATAATAGTCATAATTGGATTATAGCAATTGTAGTTGTTGGTTGCAAAAGTCGTTGTTGGGCTACAAAAATAATAGTTGGTGGCTATAATAATTATTGTTGGCTATAAAAATTGTAGTTGATGGCTACAACAGCCAACAACAGTAGTTCGATGCAATAATTGTTGGTGGTGGTCGAGAACAGATGGTGATAATTCATCTTCATTTCTCTTCACGAGTTATATTTTGGTTATTAATTCTCTATTCTCTTTTCCTTCCCCATTTTCATATGAATAAATGATGTCTTGCTTATAATTTTTTTGAGAGATATCTTAATAAATTTTGCTAACCTCTCAAAATAGTTCACGACACGGTTATCATTGAATCCTCTGAGAACAAGTCATTTTACCAATATTTAAGTGCCTTCAATTATAGCCTCAAAATTAAATGATCATGGGCTCGCTAGATTCACACATTAAGCTACTCGATTTAACAATGAACATGTACATTTTGAGATTGTTTAACCTTCTAATTAATGAACTAAAATCTTCAACAATACTTAAAGTATTTGATATGGGCTTGTTTAAACTCATTTATCCAACACGCTTCGACACTTCTCCGACACTACAAAATATGTCTGAATTTATTTCAGGACCGAACTCAGGACACTCATCAATACCACATTGTACATGAGCTTACCACGATTTTGAGAAAAGGGGACACATTAATTAAAAAATTATAAATAAATGTATAGATTTAATTGTACCTCATAGTGAAAATTGTTCCATCTTTTGTCATGTTGAAACTCTCTCTAACATTAATCAAAATCAAGCATCAAATTTGCATCCAATGTTCGTTGAAACTAAACATTAGTAATTCTATTTTTGTAATCACAAGAATTTTTATATTTTAGTAGATAAGTTGAATGAATTCTTTTGAAACATATTATATTTAATTTAAAATTAATTTTCATAAGCATGAGATTTTATAATATAAATTAAATTTATGAAGTTAAATTTATTCTTGCACAATTATGTTGTGATATTTTTAATAAAGAATAATAAAAAATTATATTTTATATATTAAAAATAAATGAAATATAAAAATGTATCAATGACGTGTGGTGTCCTATATTTTTTTAATTATGTTGTGTCTCTGCATTGTGTAGTTCAGTATCCGTGTCTGTGCCTCATAAGTCAAATTGATGGATTCATTGAACCATCTTTGTAAGAAAGAGAAACCGAGTAATTATCTTCCAAAGGCAATGGGATTACCAACATTGACATCACTTTGAATTCTTCTCAAATTTTAGAAATTATTTTTTAATTTTGCTCCAATGTAATTGCTTATAAATTGTTTTGACCTTCATTTCATTTTCGTGGCAGTTTACATGGAGTTTTTTATTAGAGAGTTTAGAAGTTTTATCTAAAATAATTTATTTATGATTGTTAATTGAAAAATAATTAGTTTTCAAAATTGCCCAAATAGATACCCATTTTATCCTTTTAGTAATTAGTAGGAATTACTATAGAAATGTGGTACGAAGGATCATATATTGTGAGAAATTTTTCAGAGAGCGAGTATGCAAATATCATCCTTACAAATGATAGTTAATGATAACTTTTATTTTATTTGAATTTGATTATCTCTTTTGATATAGTTTTTCCACAATATTTTTAAAAAGTATTCTTTTTCTAATGCAATTCAAATCAGTCTCACTGTCAACTAACGCCAGGGGTTGGGAATACTATAATCCAAATGTACAAGTTAATGGCAGAAAGCAATTCTGATGACTAGCCTTTTGAAGAGAGTTAATGAACTAAGTCTCTTCAATAGTGTTTTCTTTTATCGTTTGTTGATTATTCATTTCAATCTTTTTATATTAATTGCTTGTTGGAGATTATTAATCTCGCATTTTAAATCAATAATTTTTGCGAAATGATTTGATCTTTTTTTTTTTCCAGGGAACTTTTGCATACCCCATTCATACATATGTCGTGATCTCTCTACTGTCAATTAGAAAGAATGGAAATCAGACAGCTAAATTAAGAGTTTTCTATAATTAAAAGCTTCCTTATTTTCAATATCTTTATTTTGATTTATTTCTCTTTTAGCTGAATATTTAAATTAGAAATGTGTATTATTAAGTTGTCTAAAATAGATTATGCGCTTTTATGCACTTTATTTTATACCTAAAATAAATTGTGAGATTATTATTTAATGGAATGAAAGCAAAGGGAAAAGGTATTGAGCCTATTCGAAATGGAGTCGATTCAAAATTCAGTTTATTTTTCTTAAAACTTTAACATGATATCAGAGCTAAATTTTTGCCTTAACCACCAATAGTTGTGAGGACCCTCGAGACTCCCTTCCCGCCACCTGCAAAGGAGTTTTATGTTCAGATGATACTGGAAGCGATATCCTCTGGGTGACATGCAACCCCTGCAGTGGTTGCCCTACTAGCAATGGAGAGGCAACCTACTCATCAGATTCTTCAAGCTTTTTGACTCATTAGAGTCTTCTAAGCCGGACCAATCATCTACATCTTCAACTCTCTTGCTCGGATCAAAGATGGTCATCAACCATCCAAACTGGAGAGGCGACCTACTCCTCATCAGATTCTTCAAGCTCTTTGTCGCCACAAAAGGCATGTACATCGGCCAGTTCGTGTACCGCGGTGCCATCATTCGACTGCTTCGTCTGCTAGCCTTCAAAATCGTTCGCCTTCGATTGCTTCGCTTCTTCGACTGTTTCCTCGTTTTGTCCACTTCGATTTCTAGCAAACGTCATCATCGACTTCGCTAGCCTTCACTACTTCTGCAGCATCTTCGGCTGCTTCTTACGCTTTGCTAGTCCGCTTCGGCTTCAGGCTTCAGCACTCTCAGCTTCAACAACTTGAGGATATTTTTTTTTTCCCGACAATATTATCAATTTTTTGTTGGCAAATTGATGTTTCTTGATCAGTCAGCATCAATTTGAAGGGGGATATCAATCAGGAAGGATGGAAATCAGACAGTTAAATTAAAAGTTTTCTATAATTAAAAGCTTCCTTATTTCCAATATCTTTATTCTGATTTATTTCCCTTTTAGCTGAATATTTAGATTAGAAATATGTATTATTAAATTACCTAAAATTGATTATGCAATTTATTTTGTATCTAAAATAAATTATAAGATTATTATTTAATGTAATGAAAGCAAAGGGAAAAGGTATTGAGCCTATTCGGAATGGAGCCGATTTAAAATTCAACTTATTTTTCTCAAAACTTCGACATCTAGAAGGCTTAGAAGCTTTTCTTGAATTTTGGGGCCTGAAACTTGAGCGAAAACTACAGTTTGTTCTTCTTATTAGACAACAAATTTTATTAAGTTTTTTCACAACAATCAAATTGCTCAAATACTAAGCTCGACTACACAAACAGAGAGAGAGCGAGAGAGAGAGAGAGAGAGAGAGAGAGAGAGAGAGAGAGAGAGAGAGAGAGAGAGAGAGAGAGAGAGAGAGAGAGAGAGAGAGAGAGAGAGAGAGAGAGAGAGAGAGAGAGAGAGAGAGAGAGAGAGAGAGATTTAAGATGATTAATGCAGCCTTGGAGGCTCGTAAAGAGTCTGTTGCTGTGATCGATAAGGCAAAGCAAGTGAAAGTGATGTAGCTGAAGAAGACGAGGGTGGAGGGTGATGTCCAGTTAAAGGTCAATAAGGCCCGCATTGACAGAATAATATACAGGGGATTATCATCGTCAAGCAGCATCCAACATCTTGGTTATGCATTCATGCGATAACACAACAATGGAACCAAGACGTCGTTAGCTATAAGTACAAGGATGTATTCGAGATCTGACTAGCACTACGGACATAGATTTGGTGTTTACAAAATGGTGGACCGTGCGGACCACCATGAGTGCCCACAATGCCAAGTGATCCATGCATGATTTACTCTATTAAAAAATACGAGGATTTATCTATAAAAGACAGCATAAGCCCACGAAAAGACAATCCGATCTCCAGCTTCAAATCCCATACCCCCAAACCCAAACTATTATTTTAATCACAAGCAAAAAAAAAAAAAAAAAAAAAAAAAAAAAAAAAAAAAAAAAAAAAAACAGGGCTTCTGCAGCTGTAGAAGCAAAGTTCAACTCTTTTAGAGCATTGCCGACGAGATCCGGTAAATCTAGAAGGTGGATAACATTTTAAGTCGAGATTTAACTGTCAAACTCCCACAACGAGCTTGTATATTTTTAAGTAATGAAGGAACAAGAATAAGGACACAATTGCTTGGCAAACAAACTGCAGTAATTACAAGAAAAAGAAGACGCCATGAACTTTTCCAGCACAGGGCAAGAGCGCAAATTGAACTTTAATCAGGAGGAAGATAACCAACACCCAAATATTCATGACAGCACACCACAATCGAGTACATCACAAGCAAAATCAACAAACATTTATACAATAGAGATACCAGGCTTACTTCCTGACACTGGAAATGTGCCAAGCAGACTGCAATAACTTAGCAGTCACAAGCTAGCAGAAGGATTCTAATTTTCCCACCTATCTCCGAAAAAGACCGAGCAATTCAAGCAAATTTACAGCACATTATATCAAATTTGGAAAAATTCGAAACTTAAATGAAGCTCTTACGAATGCTCGATTGAAATTGATTTTAAAAGCTAGCTTACTCACTCTCCTGACAGCGAGAGGACGACGATTGCTAAAAAAAAACCGAAACCAAAAAAATATAAGCAGAATGAGAACAAAAACCTCGAGGAAGCCGATTTCCCTGTTCAAGATCTGAACCTCAAGCTGCAGTCGCCTCCGACCACAAAAGTCTGGGTACCTGGGCGGCGATTTGGGGCTCGGCGCCGCCTTCAAGACCACCGGCGCGGTGCCATCCATTCTCTGTTCTTGACAACAGTGCCAAAGCAACTGCTACAGACGCCCCGCAGCGAACCCGGCACCGCGGCGAGGGAGGGAGGTCGGAGAAGGTGGGCCGGACTTTAAATGCGGCACAAGGCGGAGGACTAGACCTCCGCAGATAAGCTCACCGCCGCCCTCAGAACCAGAGGACCTCATGTTCTCTCTCCCCCTCTCTAATCCCTTTCTCCTCCCAGCGTTCTCATTGTCCGATCCATGCAATAATAGCACTCAATTACGGTGAGAGAGACGAAGGGGAGGGGAGCGAGGCCTGCCGCGCGCTCTGTATTTGGCACGGTTTTGTACGAATAATGGCAGGCCTCTCTTTCTTTATTTCTCTCACTCGACACTGCATCTTTTGATGGATGGTATTGTGGGCGGATTGATGGAGAAACATATAAAAAAGGAAGAGGTGATTGCGTTCTGCGATGGAGGAAGGGGGGATTGGAGACGGTGGAGATGAATGCCGTACAGACGCCGCACGTGACATCGCCGAGGCCGGCGCGGTTTTCAGACTGGATGGGACCATGGCAGAAATTTTAAGTGTTCCTGTAAGGCCGCAGAGTTTAGCTAGGGTTCCAGAAAAAGAAAAAATTATTGTATATATATGCACTGCATGCAGAGATATATGTAGTGTTCGATTCTGATCGTAGATCACCGATCGTAGATCACAGTGATCTACGATCACGATACAATTAAAATTATTTTGAAAAAAAAATGTTAAGTGAAGCCCACCGAAATGCATCCTTACTATAGATCACTGTGATCTACAATAAGATCGAACACCGCATACATCTCTGTATGCGGTGCATGTATGCAATAATTTTTTCCTAAAAAAAGCTAATTGTTTGTGAATAATTTATATTTCCTAAGTAGTTTATGTTTAATTTATTTGTTAAATAAAAAAATCAAATATGAATAATTTTTGCATTTTTTGGGAAATTGTTGTTGGTGTTCAACTCATTTTTAACTCTAAATAATTAAATTATATATACATATACAATTGATGAGTATTATTTTCTAATAATTTAATCGATTATTAGAATACAAAGATTTATAATCAATTGAAATTATTAATTAAAAAAATAAAATAAATATATTTTAAATTTTATTTGAATTAATATTTTAATATAAATAATAAGATTTGAATATATCTCATACTTTTAACATCCTATAGTTATGTGACTACGACTATCAAAACAATTTTTTATTCGCATATAGGCTATAGCTAGTGTTCGGCCCGATAAGCGAACGAGTCGAACACAAATAATTTTTTTTATCTCAATTTATAAATGAGTCAAACATTAATACTGAAACTTTTTAATGAGCTGAACACGAATCGATCCTGGGCTTGCTCATTATCAGCTTGTTTGCACCACTAGTGTTAGTTTTATGTGCCTATTTGTAGTTTAGTTTAGTTGAAAAAAATATATATATTTAAAATTTTAAAGAAATTTTAAGATTTAAATTCTTGTTTTCTCCAATATTTAAAATTTTGTTTTCAGTGTGCTGGGTTTAAAGGTATCATCTTTCGTATAAATAAATGATATATTTATGAAAGAGGATATTATTTATAATTTTTCATTGTTTTTTTTATCTTTCTCTATCTCTCCCTATTTTACTCTCTATTTTTTTGGTGTAATTAATGTGCAATCTCGAATCCAACATCCTGAAAAATGTAGTGAGTGTGGAACATGCTATCAAGAAGAATGATCTTTTAACAAAAGATGGTTAAAGTTCAAACCCATTTTGTTAAACCAATTTGATGATAATAACTACCAAACATCCAAGAATCATACATTTACATTCTTGGAGATTTTCCCTCTCTCCAAAGATCATGTATAGTGACCTTTTAAGTTGATCTCATCCATTCGAAGTTAGCTAAGCTTAGTCTGTTAAGCTAGAAGGCGACCAGATGACAAGCTCATATATGTAAAATGCCAGAAATAGCCTTGCACATACCCCTTTTAAACAGAACAAAAAATTTAATACCAACATTATAATATCTCCCCTATAAATAGGGGAAATAGTTCATAAAATGGATATTATTCATCATTGTTCATTACAATCTCTCTTTTTATGCTTATTTTAACCTCTATTTCATGGGTGTGATTCACAGACAATCTCAAATCTAACATAAAATTTTTCATGTGTAAGTATAAAAATTTAGGTATTAAAGATGTAAATACATGACAAATGTATGGTATTTATTTAAATCCCCTTTTAATTAAATGTTATGCATCTTTCATTATTTATAATTTCAATAATTTAGAGCTAATATGTGTGTACTTTATCCATGTTTGAGCGAGTCTCGAGATTTGTATCAAATGATAAGAATTAGTTGATAAATCATCAATCAAATTTTATAATATAAATTGAACAAAGAGAGTTGATGTGTGAACAATCACATGTCAAAGTTGTTCTTGATATTAAAAAGGAGAATATTAGTGGTGCAAAATTGTCAATAGCTAAGCGAAGTCAACGGGTCATTGGGGAGGCGATTTTACTGTGGTGCAGATTGGGACCGTGGTTTGGGTTGTTTGGATTTTGTAGGTTGCAGTGGCATTTTGATAAATCCAATTGAAACATGAGTCGTGGGTTCGACCCCGCGGTCCACATTCCTTAAATTTTATTTTACGCAGCTGCCCTTTTGTGTTCCTTCTGCGGCTACCCTCTTGTTCCTCTGTGGCTCCTTTGACGTGATTATTGCCCTAATTTTTATTCTCTAGATCCCCTTAAATCTGTGGCTCCGATGGCTAGGCGTTATTTTTGGTAGCCTCTTGTTGGTTGGCGGTGTTTTTCCTTTGACTTTTACACACTTCTCCCTCTCTTCTTTTTTCTTCTCCTCGATTTGGTGGTTATGATCACTCTGTGATCTGTGTGGCAGTTCCCTTTCTTTGGTTGGTGTTTATTTTGGTGAGCTTTCTATTCCCTGTCCCTTCTCTTCTTCATCTTGGTTTGGTGTTTGTGGGCATTATGCACTATGTGCAGTAGTCCCTCTTCTACCTCTTCTTTCTGCTCAGTAACCTTTGCTTTATCTAATAGGTGGCTTTATGATTCTGTAAATGCTAATGTGCAATGGTTCTCTGTTTGGTTGTTGGTTTCCTCTCCCCTAATTTCACTCTTTGCTCGATTTAGTAGTTTTTGGTTTGATATGTTCGATTGAAAAAATTGATGCTTCATATTGCATCCATGATGAATTTGGTCTGTGATTTTGATATGCTCGGTTATGATACATATCAACCGAGCATATCATGGATGCTTTTGATTCTATATGTTGCATGCATAAAGCTTAGTTGTGATATGCTTGGTTGATGATTTTTATGCTTTATGGTGCTTCCATGATGCTCGCTTTGATGCTTTATGTTGTATCCATGATGATTTATACTTTATGTTGCATCCATTTTTAAGCTTGCTTGGTTATGTGGCTTTATACTTTATGATGCTCGGTTTGCATCTTACAATTGCTTTATACTTTGGTTGTGATATGCTAGGTGTTGGTTGTGTTTACATTTGAACATTAGAAACACGTGGTGGTGTAATGGTTTTGGATGTGCAGGTGTGTGTAGGTGTATGCCCGAATTTTGGTTGAGGTGTTTAGTGTTGCTGGTGTGTTGTGTGTGTTGGTGTGTGGGTTGTTGGTGTGTGAGTGTGAGTGTGAGTGTTTGGTGTGTGGTGTGTGGGTGTGCTGGTGTGTGAGTGCAAGTGTGTGGTGTTTGGAGGAGGTGGTGGTAGTTTGATGTGTGGATGTGTAGTGTGTATTACATGTTGAAACTTAGGGTTTTGTTTGACATGGACAGATATGTGGTTAATGGTGTGTGAATGTGTGATGTGTGATATGTGATGTGTGGATTGTATTTGTTGGTGGATGTGTTTGTTTGTGTGTGAGGTGGTGGTGGAAGGTGTGTGGTTATCAATGCTGGTGGATGTGTTTGTGCGTGGGTGTTGGTGACGATAAATTTGTTTGTGTGTGGAATTGCGGTGCTGATGATTTGTTACATTCTTTTGTTATAGCTCAAGGTATATGTTAATCATTATTTTCATTCTAGTATCACAGTGATTAAAACCAAAGAGGTTGTTCATCTGCAATGTGGGATAAGGATACAAAGATAGTATTTTGCTACTTATGCCTCAAAGAGGTCGAACTGAAAATAGTCTGTCAATTTATCTCAACATGAAAGACAGTTCAAATATTATTAAGAAAGTCAAAGAAATTATGCGCTGAGAGTTTGATAAGATGCAGATAAAAAATGAGTGGGATTAGCTAAAGAATGACGGTTTAGCTCACATAACTATAGGAGACTATTTTACAGGCGTTCTCTATTAAGTCAATCAGTTAGCTACAGGAGATAGTTTTACCGGTACCCACGGAGAATCACGAAAAACTATGACTGTTTTCGGTGGGCAAATGGCTAAAAAATTCCACTTCCATCCGGCATGGAAAGCATCTCTGGAGGACGGCTTAGCTTGTGACATACGACGTCTGCATTTTAAAAATAATATTATCATATTATTATTAAGTGTTATTTTAACGATTGACAACCTGGCGACTCCTTTTAAAAATAAAAAAGAGAAAAATAAACGAAAAACAGTTTGTTTGTGTGTGAGGTGGTGGTGGAAGGTGTTTGGTTATCAGTGCTGGTGGATGTGTTTGTGCGTGGGTGTTGGTGCCGATAAATTTGTTTGTGTGTGGA